GTCCTAGGCAATTTAGCACTCTGTTTCCGCATAATTATTTGAGGTCATATCACTCAGCGCTCACAAATAAGGCTGACTCACAGTCATTCGATAAAATATCTCGTCACTTATTGATCTCCATCTCCATCGCTGCGAAGCTCTGTCAGGTGATTCTGTAGATATATCTATTATTCAGTATGGCTGGTGGCTTGCTCCGGCGTCTCCCTCATGCTTTGAACTTCTCCAGCTACATGGGTAGGTAGGTATATAGGAATATGTCGAGCGACGGCTGACGTCTGTGTTTGAACACGGATCTCGACATCGATAGCTGCCAGACATCTGAGTCCGAAGTCGCTGTAGCAATGAGTCTTCTCGACATTGCAGGAAGTCACTAAAATGACCCCGCAGTATCATGTTAGTGAATAACTATAGCTAATCCTGATTTTAATAAATCTATTGTGCTGTCTTTTCACTGGCCGCTCTTTACTCCCAAACTTTGGCCAGCCCATGATCTTTATCGTTGTATTGGCTTATAACTAGCCAGCTGTTTCAGATAAATTCCTTGCACACACGCTCCAAATAAATGTCCCACGTTTATTCGTTTTCCTTACAGCTTCATTTGACAGTGGTTTAATATTGGCATCGTTAAATCTATTCGACCGGCTAGGCCAGCGGGTCGCTGATAAAGTCATTAAAAAGTTTCGCTCAGGCTAACTACCCCCGCTCGGTGTGGAGCACCTCGCCGCTGTCGGCTCGGGTGGGGCGGCGGTCGCCCCTGAGCTTTAATGCCAGCTGCGCCAGAACAGCTAACAAATTATACCTATCGCAGCAGAGCTATTAGGGGAAAGGTGCTTCTAGTTGACTAGCCCCGGCTAATTAGGCTAATTTACCTTGTGTCGAACTGACAAGAGTAACTCTGTTGCGGTGGTCCAAGTCAACGGCTATTTTGTGGCTAGAAATGAGAGAGGCTGCTACCGCATTCTAGTTAATGGTCACCCCAATGGCTCCATTTAACTACCTACTTTTGCTCTTTTAATTCTACCGCATTTGAGCAGAGGAAGTGGACTGCCACCTCGTGACTTTCTCTCTTAGGATTAAGGCTCAGACCACCCATGCCTTTCCTCATGCCAATTGCCACATGCCTCTGACATCTAACCTCCTGACAGGCTTCCTCCGTCGTCACCGCACCGGGGGCCTCGTAAGTCGTCACTGACACCTTCCTGGGTGACCTGTCACACTCCGGACACCTGACATCGACCCGGGTGACCTGTCACCATCCCGGAGAGCCTGTCATCCTTCCTCGCCTGGCTGTCAGCGATAGACGGTTGGCGCGGCGGCTGTGTCAGAGCCAGCAGGCAGCCGTGCCACCCAGGTCGCCGTTCCCGTCCCGTGAACGGATCAAAGCCGGGAGAAGTCGACCGGACAGCCCGGCTCCACAGCGGCGACGGTTCACTGCGCGTTCAGGGCAGATTGCCCGCGCTCCCAATGGCCCCGCGGCTCCGACAACCCCAGCGGGTGACCTGTGGGAGATCCCAGCGCACCCATGGCTACTCACAGGAGCCTAGCAACCTCTTACAGCTCCGGATGGTCCACGTGTATTCCAGTATCTTCTTACGGATTCGATAGCTCCTTACCGTTTAAGTGGCTCATATCATTCACGGCTGCATTCAGTAGTCCAGATTGCTCCAGCTACTTGTATAATGCAAATGCTCTCAAAAATGTCCAGTAGCTCCTGATCCAGCGGCTCCGAGCACGTGATTATAATCGGAGGAAGACAGTATCATCCTGGCAGATATTAGATGATCCTCGCAGCCCCCAGATGTCTGCTTCTATAAGTGGCTCCAAATAGCTGACTGCTCTGGCATTTACACAGTTCTTCATTATAACCCTGAAAATTGTTCTTACCGGGGGCTTCAGCGATTATCGGTGACATTGGCTGATCCGATAGGAAAATAGGCGTTCCGTTTCACTAAGTGTCGCTCCTCAGCTCATGATCCTGCCCGTACTGTCTCTGAGCACCAAATTGGTGCCAGTTTATACATGTCTGTCAAATGCACGCTAATCCGAGCTGCTTTCTGGGCCGAGTGGGACTCAGACTTCAGCTCAGTAAACGAACTATCGCAATGCAAAGCGGCTTAACTTCCGTAAATCCAGCAAGGTCTTTGGGAAAACAGTTCCTTTTATGATGAGACCCATCCTAAGTGTGATGTATGAGTGTCATTGGGTTGTTTGCTGTGGTTCTCTAGCTTTGCACGACAAACATGCTACTGTTGGTTTACTTTGAGCTGCATTTACGCAGTTGGATTGTCTGTCATAATGTTTCACAGAGACAAATAAAATTGCGAGACGTTTCTTGTGCCTTATATCGATTTTTTGAAGTGTGTGATTTTAAATGTTGCGGCTCCTTATCATCATCATCATCACATTTATTTGCATCACACACACAATGTGAGGTGACAAGGTGAGGTGACAGTTATAACAAGTAGCAGTACATATACATTGGGCCAGGTAGGTACATACATTAATGCCTGCAGAACAATGCTAGGCCACGCAAGGGCATTCACAAGAGCCAATCATTGGACATTCTAAAACCATCGATAGTACCTATACTTTAGTTCAAGTTGTGTGCCTGGTGCTTTCATTTGTGACTGTTATGAGCCTAAGAATTTTACGCGAATGAGAGCAAGTGCTGTTGAGCAGGAATTTGATTGTGTCCACAATTCCATCATTCATACAAGAGCCACGAATAAGCTCACCATCAATATTGCCACATGCTATGTTCATTGTAACTTCAAAATTATTATTTCCGAGGCTATGTGTAAAGCTCAAGAATGATCCGTCTAATTCTGAAGGCGTAGTAGCTAGAACAGCAAGGCTGACTGACTGACTGCAATATGCAATATGACTGCAATGAAACAACGCATTCATAAATCCGGTAATATGCGCCTGTTAAAAACAATTACTGCGTTCGTAAATCTCTCAGCATGTCATTAGAGCTTTCTTGGACAAGCCGGTAATACCCCACCACCACACCCTTCATTCCAGTGAGTCACTGCTCCCGTCCCCTCTCCCTTCCTCACCGTCGCCTCTCCCTTCCTCCCCGTCCCCTCTCCCTTCTCCGGCTCCCCGCTGTCACGTGCCGCCCCCACGCGTTCCGTCGGTGGACCATGCCGCGCCGGTGTCGCAGCCCGCAGCCCTCAGCCTTCAGCTCGCTACCCTCCTCCCCAGGGAGGTTTGGCCACTCTCCTGTCCAGCAGCCGCCCCGGCGAACAAGTTGGCCAGATTACTTCCGTCCCAGCACGGCGGCGCCGGAAACCGGGGCAGGCTGCAGCGCCGCTGGCATGCCGTCAGGCAAGCGCGGTGCGGGCACAACCGCAGGCGGTTCTCTTAGCGCGCTTATTATCCCGTTAACTTATTCAAATAGATTCCTCGGCGACCCTGATTCCTGGCGGCTGGCAGGCTGCACCGCGCGCTGTGACGGATCCGTCGCTGGCAAAATTGACGTGCGACACCGAAACTGCACGGGAGGGGCCGCTGTGGGACGGGGAGCGACGCTGGCGACACGACGCGAACATGGGCTGGGGACGATGGTCGGGGAAGGAGGGGCGGACAGCAGTGGGAGCCACTGGGACTGGTGGGGCTCGTGACAGAATCTAGAAGGCAGAATACAGAGGACAGTGTACGAAGACTGCTGCCGCTGAGACTTGTTGCGTATTCATTCAGAATCATGATATTTTTTTATTATTTTGTTGGATCGCATAGATGCGCCACTAGCCTTGCTGCAGCTGAATTCATACAACCAAAACCTGATAGGTAACGATGGACTTTTCGATGTGCAATGTTAATTGCATACTTAATGCATGCACATCAGGTAATAAAAGCAGCTACCTTCTGGTCATTTCTCATCAATAATATCAGGCTTTTCTCATCAACTTTACCAGCGCAGGCTCCAGCGACGCGAGAGTCAGAGTCTGAACTCCGGCCGTATACGTTTGACAGCCGTCGGAAGCAAGTTGACGGTCCGTCGTCAACTCTGTCAGGCATGAGACGTGACCATATTGATCACGCCAGGGTGTCCAAACTCAGATGGCAGGTTGGCAAAGTTTTGAGGTGCCGTTTGTCGAAAGAAAACTTTTACGGCCGTTTTGTTGAAAGCAGAAAATACTATGGGATTTCCAGGTAAACACCAGTGCCTTTGCTCGTTGGGCACTGCGGTTGCCGTAAAGTTGAAAACTGCACGCCTGCTAGATATCCTTAGGAGCAGACCAACCGCTTTCTATGAAGTTTGCCTGGTGTCGCATTCACTGAAAAGGCTGGTTCAACCCTCCGCACAGTTTTGCAAGCGGCTCATTGTTTCGCCCGCTATTCAGTTAGTCTATCACTGAAACAAATGCCATATTCGGTGACGGTGCAGCACTTATAGGATACCACTAATGACCATTGACCACCTCCTGAAGCACTCAATTCTGATCAGGACGGGTGGTCATGGAAACAGAAATGAATGCAGGCTGTGAGAATATTCAACCATGGCTGATGAGTGGTGGGGGAATAATAATGGACCAGTACGCGTTCCGCACAGCGAGTGTCGTGAAGTCCACACCCGCCTCAATGGGTAAAAGGAAATGGGAGCGGAGGTACGGGAAGAGCATAGAGGGCCGTCTAATGGCTCAGCTGAATGCCGCAAATGGTCGGCCATTCGCGGAGCTCAATTAGACGGCGACTGTCCACAGCACGACCGCCCCAGACCGACCCATTGGAAATCGTTGCTTAGAGCGGTCGGCACTGCCTCGCGCTCGATGAAGCTGTTTTAAAATACCCGACCACATTGTCTACGGCCATCGAATCGCAATGACAGACAGCTGAATTGGAAGCGTGGTCGATGAATTTACGTGGCATCTAGCCAGTCCAATATTCCTCGGAATGCTCGGCGCCCGAGTCGTTTCCGAGCTCGGGACACAGAACACCACTCCCATATTGCGCCGCCGGTGTGACTAATCGCAGTGTTTTCCTTCTGTTTCCAGATGAACCCGAGTGCCGGGCCGGACCAGCGCGGACGCCGCTCGTCGACAGCGGTGTGAGTGAGGTGCAATCTGGATCTCTGGGGCAGCTGCAGAGATGACACCACTACTGCTGACCTGCGCTGCCCTGCTGAACACGGTGGCTGACACACAGGCGGTGCCGGAAAGGACCTACCGACCTGACTTCGGTCAGCTGCGCGACCTCCAGTCGTCACAGGCCACCACAGAGGCCGGAAGGCGTCCCGCGCAGTGCTACTGGCGCCTGGACGCGGCGAGTGTCTGGGAGTGCCGGTTGGGTGCTGGCGGAGTGGAGAGTGCACTGGTGTTACCCGATTACCGTTCGACCGAACTGCGAGTGCTCTGCGAGGACGATGCTCCCGGAGTGATCAGTGCGAGCATGTTCCAGCATGTGCTCAACATTATACGATTGGAAATCAGGGACTGTGCGGTGACGAAAGTAGAGAACCGTGCTCTGTGGCAGTTTACTTATTTGAGAAATTTGTCACTTAGCTCGTCATTTTCGTCGGAGGTTATCATCTCAAACCATACGTTTCGGAATCTTACCAAACTTGAGAGTGTTGATCTAAGTGGCAATCATATAGAGTACCTGCCGCCGAAAGCCTTTTGTCCGTTACATCGTCTGATTCATTTGAATTTATCTGATAACGCGCTGATGGACACTGAAGTTGGGTTCGGAACCGGTGATAATGAAAACTGCCGCCACGCGTTGCGAGAGCTGGACATGTCGTCCAACGCTCTCCGGTCGGTACGCGCCAGGGGATTCGCCCAGCTCACTTCTCTACAACAACTGATACTCGCTGGAAATCGTATCGAGCAGCTGGCGGAGGAGAGTTTTTATGGCGTAGGAGAACTCCGTCTACTTGACCTACGAGCTAATCATCTGGTGACGCTACCGGATGGCGTGCTGACACCCGTGCAGCAACTGACCAGCATACAGCTCCAGCAGAACCGTCTGGCCGTCCTGCCACCGCGGGTGTTTGCTGGCCTCGAGAAGCTCCTGCTGTTGAACCTGTCGCACAATCAACTGACATCACCAGGTGATTTCTCCGGCCTACCCCGTCTGCTTCAGCTCGACCTGAGCAACAACCGTCTCACCGACCTACTGCCGGGATTTCGGCAGCTCAACAGCCTTGATACATTAAACCTTTCGCATAACCAGCTAACCCACATACCCGTCAACGCTCTAGTCAGCTTGTCAAATCTCTTTGAACTAGATCTCTCGCATAATCAGCTAGTGACGCTGGCAGGTGGTTCACTTATACTTCTGCGCGGGTTGACGGTGTTGAGGCTGGATCATAATCAGCTGGTCACGCTTCAGCCAGAATCACTGTCGAACTGTAGCGGAATACAGCGTCTGTCCTTATCACACAACAAGCTAGCAGATGTGCCGGTTGCGCTTCGGTCTTTGTCATTGCTGCATGAGCTCGACTTATCTCACAACTGGCTGTTATTCATCGATGACAATGCCTTCCACAACTTGAGCAGTCTGGTCAGCCTAGACCTGTCGCACAACATGTTGACAAGCCTGTCACAACGGTCCCTTGCACCTCTGACAAGTATGACGCGTCTGGATCTTTCATACAACCAAGTGAGGTCATTGGAAGGCGTTTTACGAGAAAACCGGCGGCTAAGCGAACTGAATGTTGCGGGAAACAAGCTCAACAACTTGGAAGGAATCACTAACTGGCAGCCCAGTTTTTACCACCTGCCTAGTCTGTTTAGCCTAAATGCGTCGGCAAACACTCTCACCATGTTTGATTACAGGGTGATTCCAACTCAGTTGCGCCAGCTTGACATAAGCAACAACAGATTGCTGAGTCTGGACGGAAAGCACAAGCACCCGACGATCGAACTGCGTGAAATCGATGCGTCCGGGAACCAAATCTCCCGAGTCACTCGCGATCTGTTGCCTGATTCAATTGAGGTGGCACGCCTGGCCAACAACAGCATAACGGATGTCGAACCCTACAGCTTCGACGGCAAAAAGGACCTGCAAATGGTAGACCTGTCTTTCAACAAGCTGGAGCATCTAAAGAAGGTGACTGTGTCCGTTGAGAGAGTCGAGCTTCGGCTGGCTGGCAATCCTTTGGCATGTGACTGCCACAACGAGTGGCTGTCGGAACCTGCCACCAAGCTAGCGTTGACTGACCTTGATCGGGTCATGTGCACGCTCGAGCACAGAGGTCAAACGGTGAAGCGACCACTGTCAGAGGCGCATTTCCTCTGTCCATATAAGCGTCATTGTTTCAAAGTTTGTCAATGCTGTGATTATGACGCTTGCGACTGCGAACAGACTTGCCCGAAAAGCTGCACTTGTCTTCGTAACAATATATGGACGGTAAATGTCATCATGTGCGCCAATCAAGGTTTGACAGTGATACCCAGCAGGATCCCCATGGACGCCACAGATATTATGCTGGATGGGAACGATCTGAATATGCTGTACGACCTCAGCTTTCTAGGTCGAAAGAGTTTGAATGCTCTGTTTCTAAACAACAGTAACGTGATGTCGGTTACCAACCGAACCTTTCAAGGTCTCACGTCTCTTCGGTACCTACACCTCGAAGACAATCAGCTCACAAGACTGGAAGGCGAAGAGATGCTAAATCTAACTGGTCTACGTGAATTATACTTGCAAAACAACCACCTCGAGTACATCAACACAGCTCTTTTCAAGCCTCTGGAACGGCTTGAAGTGCTAGACCTCAGTGGGAATCGGCTCACTCAGCTGTCCATCTGGACGATTTCCCAGCCGTACCTGGCCCGGGTCTCCCTTGCCGGTAACAGCTGGGTCTGCGAGTGCAGCTTCCGGTTCCGATTCCGGCGGTGGCTGCTGCAGAACCGTGACAAGGTGGCTGACGCCGAGTCGGTGGCCTGCTCCAGTGGTGATGTTATCGTTGTGGAGAGTGAGTGCCGTGGCATGCTGACGGCAGCTAATTCCAACATGTGGGTATACGTGGCGGCGGCGGCCGTATGCCTGGCTGCTACCGCCGCGCTCCTTGCCATCGTCGCCTACCGGCGACTGGGAAGGCGAAGCGCCTCCGCACACAAGATGATTCCTCCTCTGGCCTACGACGCGTTCGTCTCGTGTGACGCCAAGGACACAGCGCTGGCGTCCCAGCTGGCCGCGGACCTGCCGTACCTGAGACTCTGCTTGCTGCACCAGGACGTCCCCGCCACGCCAGATGCCATCGTCGAGGCGGTGAACGCCAGCCACGCCACCGTGTTGCTGTTAACCGAGGCGTTCATCGGACGTGCTTGGTGTCGCTTCGACTTCAAGCACGCGCATCTGGCAGCGCTGGGCTCGGCGCGACGCTCCCTGGTGCTCGTGGACGTGGCCGATGTGGTGGGAGCCCCGGAGCTCGACCCCGACCTGGTGATGCTGTCCAAGTCGTGTCCCGTTCTGAGCTGGCGGGATAAGCAGCTCGGCCAGCGACTGATGCGGCTACTGCGCCCTCCGGCGGGCACCTGGGGAGCCCCTTCCATGCCGGACGACTGTTCCGATGGTCCCGTGTATGCCTCTATTGACGATGACCTGGCGAGGTCACCGTCCACTGCGTTGTCAGAAAAGGCCTTCCTGGCCGGGCCAGCGCGTATGAACATTACTCTGAACCCCTCGGACCGTGAAACTGAGGGGTTTTCTGTGTCTAACGCTCGTGCACACGGGGGTCAGGTGCTGCTGACCCCCAACAGGGGCACGCAAATACATTTGACGCCGGCTCGGGGGAGAAAGTCCCCACTAGCGACATCTCCGGGCGGGAAAGTGCAACTAACGCCGTCGTACTTTGTCTAAGTGTTTGCCAACTGCTTTTATGAGTTATCGTCTTTAGTATATTTTTATAATGTGCGGAAACTTTGAGGGGTGGTGTCGCGAGTGGACTGTTCTAACTGACAAATAACGTGTCATGGCGCCTCTGCTGCGGTTATATGCGATGAATAGTGTTGCTATGTGGCTTGTCAAAGGGTTGGGGCAGGGAGGGTGCCAAGACAGTTGGAGCGGGCGCCCCGACAATCGATTGGCAACGCAATAAAGCAGCCTAAACACCGGCTGGCGTCTGTGTTGAACGGAGGCCCGCCCTGTGCGCCGTCACACGCTGCTGGAGCAAGACAACTAATTAGTTTTCTCTGTTTGCCGGAACAGGCCTAACCGAATCTGAGAGACGTTCTTCCGGTCGTTTTTTTTTCTTGCTTTCAAAATGACCAGCAGACGGCGGAGGTCCGGGCCTGAAATGGCTAGCTGAAACAAGGTTTCAAACTTTCAAGTTTGACTGAAATAAACTGAAACCCAAAGCAAGGACTAAAATTAAAGTTGTGTTACGTTTAATCATCGTTTTACGTTTTCGTCTTTTACATAGATGAGGCAGTTTAAGGAAAAGCTTAGCGCGAGTCATATCCACATAACACAACCTTACGCAAAAGCTGAAAAGTGAAGACCGTCCTCAAATGTCCTAGCTTTTCTGCATGTACCATTCAGTCTATTTTCATGTTTTTGTATTTATCACATACCTAATTATATTATCACACAGCCATCACCACATGTTTATTCTGTATCCAAGCCAGGCTACATCTCCAGCAACCAGCTCCTAGTGCACAGAAGGAGGCCGCATCACGTCACCGCACAGGACACAACCAGGTCAGTACGGGGCAACTGCTCACGGGGCTGTCTTCGCCTTTATCCCTTCTAAGCTCGGTGTGCTGTATTAGCCCAGATGCAGCTCAATGTCGGGATGGTCGGCGGATGACTGCGCCTTGTTCATGCAGAACACGCCGCTACTGTTAGTGGTGCTTAACTCCAGGTCGCAGCGAGAGGAGCTTGTTGCGCGCCGCTCACTGCATACGCTTTGATAAAAAACGGACAGTGTGCTCATCCACCTTTCTCCAAGGCATAGGTAACCTGCAGTATCGCTAATGGCCTCCAGTGATGGCAGTTTGAAAGGACGCGCTTGAGCCCTTAAATATAGAAGGCATTTATCTCTGCATAATGGCATAATGTAAACGAATGGCATAATGATAACGGCATAATGTAAACGAAAATGACACTCTCGTCAAAATCACTCGGGTTAATTGTGGAATTGGCTTCAAAGTCATGACATTAACTTATGAAAAAATTATCCAATCCTGTTAAAAAGAATTGAATTATTTTGATTGAGATTTCGGTCAACATTGTATTCATTTTGGTGAATACATTTACTGCTTATTTTTGAGCACAACAGGGTAGCAACAATGAACAAAGTTTACTTCAAACAGCATTATTTTCGCTTAATTTTATCTAATCTGCTTCCGATTTGACAAAGATGCAAGCGAACAAAAATTCACAGTGCAATTCCAAATCACTTCGTTGAACACAGGGGACAGTATTTTCAGTTTAATTGTCTTTTCTTGCTGTAGCGCACGACAATACTGAAAGGAAAGGGCGTTAAGATGAAATGGAAGCTAAATAGGCTAGCGTTTTCAGGCATTCCTGACGCATGATGAAAGTGAGAGGGCCACTGAGAGCAGTGCATTGATCAATTACTGTTGCATACAAATAGAATGAGGGAGAGGTATGCTGCATTTCGGATTAGTATTTATTCTCCCTCTCTTTTCAAGCTGGAAAACTTCAAGCCATTTTATGAGTATTGGCCCAGGATAACGAGCAAACAACTCGGTTATGCGGGGCGCATGTAGGATATAAATCAGCTACAAACGAGATCCTTCGCGTCCGCTCCAGCCGTTGTTTGGCTCAACACGAAAACAGTTTGACGTACCATCAGCGAGTGCTCTGCCGGGGGCCAGCGACGGAGAAAGAAAACGCCGACGAGGGAAACCGAACGGAAACGTGAGCCAGGGCGAGCCGGAGAAGAGAGAGAGAGAGAGAGAGAGAGAGAGAGAGAGAGAGAGAGAGAGAGAGAGAGAGAGAGAGAGAGAGAGAGAGAGAGAGAGAGAGAGAGAGAGAGAGAGAGAGAGAGAGAGAGAGAGAGAGAGGGAGAGATCCAGCGACTGGGAGACTCAAAGCCAGATGCGAATAGATGATGATTGAGATTGACGGTGATGTTGGTCTCCTTGGAAGAAAATCCACCCAACATGTCTAAATGAGTGTTTTTGTACATGATTTATCTTCAATAGCATAATGGCCAAGCAATGTCGATAGAAAAACGTTTGAAGTAATGTATGTTCAATGTAAACGTGACGTAGCTGTGTTTTTGTGTCGATTAGATAAAATATGGCGCTGCTCTTAGAAACAGCTCCAAAGCCGAAGCACATATAGTCACTGATGTTTTATGAAGCCGTTATACCGTACTTGACTTGGTAAGCTAGCCAAAGCATTTCCGGATAGTTTTTCTGCAATAAGGGGCTGACATAGCATGTATATAGCGATGGACACACATGACAATGCAAAACTAGTATAAACGTATTTTTCAGAAATTGCTCATAATAATATGTTGTAGTTATAACTCATCAATCAAATGTGTACAAAACAACATACTTTAGATCGTATAACTTGGGTCTAACCAAGGGTAATCAAAGGGAAATTACATCACCTCATCGACTCCCCTAATGACCTCTGGGAGCCTGTGTGCTCTGGCAGAACGGCTGCTCTGTAACAGAGGCCCTCCCAGGTGGAAATAGACATTAATTTGGCTCTGTTGCCAGCGTGAGGCTCATCAGGCCAGGCTAACGTTCCGTCAGGCGAAACGAGACGAAACGTCACAGTCAATGACTGGCCATCAACAATGTTCATTGGCTCCAGAATGCGCCATTGTTAGATGTAATTGGACCTGGGCACGGACAATAACTGCTGGAATAAAGGAGAGCCGTACCAAAATGAGGCGAGGCATTTTGAGGTGACATGAAGACATGTTTTGAAAGCAGGTCGTGTCAACTAACGATTTTTGATTGGATTGACGATCAATCCCATCAAATTGCAAGTTGACAATCCCACTGTATTTATTTCCAAAAAGTGTCACTGTCTATATAGCGTCCAGTGTCCAGTTACACAAAGGCACGCTGTTGTTAGGTATATGTCTTCAGTCAATTGCAGTCGCTGATCCAGGGCCGCCTGCACTGTCAGGTGCCATGTCCCACAAAGGTCGCAAGTAAACTGAGTACCTTACGTCTCACAAAAGGTATGCCCACTGCCCAGTGCCCACTGTTTCAGAACTTATATCCTATACTCCGTACCATACCTCTGCCAGAGCTTCTCAGTCACAAGCTGAGGTACGAATTCCGCTCCCCCCTTCACCTCACCGATCAACGTGCGGAGCGGAGCGGTGGCTTACTGCATTAGGGCCTTGTGAGCCACATCGAGTAGAGTGCGGAACTAAACCCCCCACCCCTCGATGGGATTAGCGGGCTTAGAGCGGTGTCACCGACAGCTGGTGAGTTTGTCAGCAGAGTCGACGCCCAGAGAGCAGAGGATTGACAGTCAGGGTCGAGGTAGGGTCAACAGTCTTGGATGCTGGATAAGCCCTGAGCAAACAATCAAGGCTTGGAGGCAAGGTCATGGGCCAGGGACGAGACAAGTAAAAAAGAAAACGAAAAAACAGCTGGTAAGTTTTCGACATTCAGTTCAGTTTAAAAGTTTGTGCTTTGCGGTGCTTTAAAAGGATACTTACTTAGTTATTGCTTAGTTATTACTGCTATATGCATGTTCCAAAAGCAACTTTTGATGATTATTTTACAGCACAACAAATTTCGCCTTGACAAATGCCAAAAGCTGGAAATCACCAAGGGAGACGGAAACAAATGATAGAATAGCCAAGAACTGCGCCCATCTGCATGTTCAGCCGTCCTTCTAATCCGGTTTATATTTCAATCTCAGCGTGTAACACCACCTAAACGACCGCCTGTTCGGTCAGCATACGGCCTCTATTACGAATTCGTTCCGGATTAATTCCACCCTATGTTCGCTCTCTAATCAAGATGCCTGGGCACACGGATGATTGGATTTCGTCTGCAATCTGCGCCCTGGGGAGACGTGGCCTCCTCCTAGCCACCACCTCGGACGGATCATTAATAACATCGCCTCCGGCGGAATCCGTGCTCATTTACCCAGCTGACAGGCGGCGCAAATTCGCAAATTCTCTACTTAGCAGGTTGGCGACACCCCAGCTGAGACGTCGGCGCAGGGCGCGCCAAGTCAGAGAGCCGGCTGTCAGCCCGGGGCGCGACCCGGCGTCACAAATGGCGCACGCGCGCCACCCGCAGCGGAAACACGAGCACTGATTGAGTCCCGGGCGCCGCTGCTGCCAACACGGTGGCCGCCTGATGGAGCTGGGGCCACTCCAGCGCGGCGCAGCGTCGGGCCGTCGGCGCACACGTCAGCGCGAGCTAACTCCCAACAGGTGGGGGGCGCCGCGAGCGCCAGCGCTGTCGCCGGCGCGCCGGTGTTTTGCCGCGCCGCGCCGAGTGATGGCCCTGCTGCGCGGCATTTGTCGACCGAGGAGTGGCGCGTCCGACAGCGAAAGGCACTTCGCCGACGGGCAAAAGCGCGGCGGGTCTGCAGCTGCGGTACATAATAAATTCGACTGTCGATGGAATATTTTCGTCGAGGAAATGCGAAACTGTAAAGTGCTGTTGGTTGGCGAAGTGCAAAATTGTTTTCGAGTAGTTAGGTGACGATCCAATGTAACTCAACAGATAAAAGCTTTTTTATCGCATTTCCTTTTGATTATCAAAGAGGCAGTTGTGAAAGGTGTTATGAGAATATTTGATGTCGCCACTCGCCAGAGTTAACGAAACTTCTAAAGAGGAGAGGTCAAATTCGAAGAAGAGCGTAAACTTACATTAGTTACGCCAAGGCCCAAAATACAGTCTAAATACAGAGTTACGCCAAGTTATATTTACGTTATAGCTATAATTATTAGCTAGTTACGTTAAATAACAGCATAGATACCTACTATACATTCATGTTCTTCAAGCGTCAATTTCTAGAGTTAACATGCCTCGGTACTTTCGGCAACTTAGTCTTCAAGCAATGTCATGAGAGATACCTAATACACAATCACGACACAGAAAATGCAATACTATTATAGCGGTCATTCAGTGAATCTACATATGCCTCAAGC